GAAAGGAGAGGAAGAAAATTGATAAAAATCCAACAATTACCAAAATCCCCCCATATTTGTTGCTCCTCTAGGGTGTTGCGTGCAGCTTATCATCAGCCAACTGAAATAATATTAATTTTTTTCTTCTCTTTTTCTTCAAGAGGTCAAACCCCACATGATAACAACCCGTAATCAGTCTTGTACAAGTGACCAGGTTGGCAGACATAGTAGACCAAACTGTTTGATAACACATTGTGGAATAAGATTGAAATAATAAAAGAAAAATGTAATGAGCTCGGCGGGAAAATTCAAATGGTAGATTGAGTGGGCACGGGGGGATAAAGGGATGATAATTTGACCACTGGAGTGTAAAATACTTGTAGTAATTTTTAGTATCCTTACGAAGCGTGCGCTCTAGTTCGGGGGGTGTGTGTTTGTAAAGGCAAAGGGCATACACAACACTTTGCGTGGTGGTCGTGGTGGTATTGATCGGGATAAGCACAGAGTGGCAAAATGGGAACTAGCTACTAGCCGGGTTGCCGCTATAGATATGGTTCAAAAGGAGGAGTGAGAGAGGGAAAAAGAGAGGATGGAAGGGGTAGAGGATATGTGTGCAGGAGCTGAAGGTGCCTCGGTTTTTGTACGTGTGTGTGTGTGTGTGTGTGTGACGAGTTGGCAAAGGGAGGGGCAAAGAGGGGGAGGAAATGAAAACGGAACAGGATAAATGTAACAAACACAGTAACGACAGTGGCAGCACAGGCTACAGTGGGACGTTGAGCAAAAATTTCAACACATATGCATGAAAATTTTTGAGATAAAGTATGTGTATGTCGATGGGTGGAAAAAATCGGTGGATTGTATTCGATGGAAGAGGCAAAGAGGAAGGAGAAGGTATTGCTGCGCATGCGGGAACATGCTATTTAGCGTGCGCTTAGTGCCAAATCCCATTCCCGCTAGCTAACGACGGTCTTCCCGGCTACTTGGGCTGTTTTTTTTTGTACTCTGTTCCAGGGACATTGACATGTCAATAGTCGGGGGCGAGTCGAGGGTTCCATGTCGATTGATGTAGGATTGCACTTATGCGGTTTCGGGGGTCATTGAGGCATTCGATTTCATTTGAGTTTGGGAGGATTTACTTACGGTGACAATGCACAGACACCTGCCGGTTACATCCACAATGGTCCAACTCCTGTAATCTTCGTACTCTCGACGACAGCCGGTGGTAACCGCTTCTGGGACACTGGTGCGCCGTCTCAGGTGATGAAATAATAATTCAACGATCAGCTTTAAGCGCCCTGAGTTTAATGGTTTGCGAAAAGCATGGCACTTTTTCTTGGGTTGGAATTTAAGTACCAGTGACAGGGGTGGATGAATGATTCAAGTGGAAACTTCACGTTTTTCTTCTCTGTTTTTTTTTGAATTTTATTCCCCGAATTTTTGTTTTTACCCTCTTTTGCTCCCTTTAATTTCCACCCCTGCGGCTGACCCGGTCACGCGCACCCGCGCCCACTCCCCCGAGGTATTTCCACCAGGACGACGTAACTTGGCACTTCCGAGTGTCGCGCCCGTTTTTCCAGATACTAAATTTATCGTTAAAATAAATGTAATTGGGGGAAGAATTGGATGATGTTGAACAACTTCTTTTTATAATGCGGCATAAATACTTGGCTATTGTTGATAGTGATAATCTCCACGCCGGGTCAATAATCACCGAGCACAACTTAATTTTACACACTGCCAAATCACCGGCAGTCATAGATATCCCCGTCGTTGCACTAAACACACACGCCCTGACTTTTCCTATTACAATTAATAAGTGATTATCATTACACTGATGATCATTATTTTAACTATAATTACAATCCATCAAACGTCGCACTAGTTTGAATGATTAATTAGAAATGTGCGAAACGATGATTATTAGCCAGTTCCCACTGTAAATTTATTTAAAATACAATCACCGCCACAAACTCGGTCCGCAGTCTCCCTCTGGCCTCGTGCGCACTCTCCTCATTGAGAATAGACACTGAGGTAGAATATAGACTGCGGAGAGCCGAACGTCACTGGAGTATGGATGGCACGAGGAGGGCTAGATGGTTAACGGGAGTGAAGAGGAAGGGGTTGAGTTGGGAGCGACGAGCGAGGCCAGGCGAGGCGCTCACTCCAAAAGCTAGGATTGAATGTTCAAATATCTGTAAGATGGCGGTGCAAACGTATTCACGATTATTTTTTGCTCAAATGTAGAGAATCGTGGGTAGTGAGCTCACGGGTATTGGTAGCCCATATTTATTGACCCTCATGACAGAAACTACCCTTTTCCCACTCGTCTGAGCCAACAGCAAAGACAAAATCCTACTGTATACACGGCTTTTTCTATTCAGTATTCACTACATAGCCTGGCATTTTCTCCTCTGATAGACCTCTTCTCTTGGCTTTCGTAGAAAATTTCTATTTCTACCCTCATTTTCTCGTCTGTTGCATTTGCGGATCTTCTCATATCGACGAAATCCCACCTCGACCCCGATTTCACGCGCGACAGCCTGGGCTAATCCACACGCGTATTCATATATACTTGTAGCGTGAATACAAGCGTGTTTTCGTTATATAACTCATGATTGGGAGGGTTTTTTTTCAATCCGTGTGTTTATTTCTTGGGAATCTTTTTGAGATCATTTTTAGGCGGGCGTAAATCATTGATTCTTTTCAATTTGGAAGACCTAGAGACTGACGTGGGATGGGGCAGATAAAAAAGTTACATTTGCTGGATGTTTCGGTGTTTATAGCTCGTCTTCATTTAGATTTCTTTTCTCCGTGATTTAGGTTTTTTTTTCCGTAGCATGACGCGTTCGTCTTGGTGTACGATGACGTGTAGGTAATCATCATCAGTGGACTAATACGGTTAGAGATGACGAAACGATGGACTTTATTTTGTTTGTGGAATGGTAATTGCGTCCCATAGGGACTGATATCATTTTCAAAAGGAGATTATTCCAAAGGAGAAGGGGATAGTAGGTGAAATGTGAGAATTAGAATTAGAGAGTATAGGTTGAAAAAGAACGTTCACTCATCATATTCAATATTGTACAGAAGCAACAAAAGAATATAAGATTTTTATATAAAATATACCGCCACTGTCTTTTATTTTTCCTACCATTTTCTCTACTTCCTTCAGTATGACAGAATTGTGAGAACGATCGTATTGCGCGATCTTCATTAATCCCGAAACCGTACGATAGAGACTCTTCCTGTTTTTTTTTTATTATACCACTGAATCTCATGAATTTATCGAATGTTTCTGTTTCCAGATTTAATGATCCGTTCCTGTGTGTACTACTGGGCCTTTTCAAAGCTTTTAAATACAGTTAAATTTAACAATAGCGTTCAACTGCCCCATGAATCACTGAACAAAATTGTACAGTGTTGCAAGCACGTGAGGCGGATTATTTACATGTCGATTGTGTTGATTATATTCTGGTATATTCCATCCATAACAGAATATATGATGAATTCAACGCAGGAATTAGCAATGCGGATTATTAGTGTAACTGTGGATTTCAAAATATCCAGAATAAATTCATCACATATGAACATTATCACCCACTGCCCAGTAGTAGTAATACCTATGGAGCTTCATCACGGTATTTCACACAAATAGAATGATTTTTTTCAATCGAACAACACAGAGAAAAAAAGTTTCTACCTGCCTAACCCACCCACGGTACTGAATCCAAGAAACTCGTGGTTCCAGAAGGCATGATAGGGTAAACAGGTCAATTTCCTGACGGGGGTTAGTTTCTGAACAATGTCAACTTCTATTGAATATTCCATAAATAATAAAATGAAAATTGTACTGATTATTTCATCTTTTAATAACATTACTCGTGTATAATCATTTAATCAATTATTCTTTCTATTGATCGACATTTAATGAATAAAAAAAATACGGCCCTGTCGTCCAGAAATTAGGGGTTTCGGCTGCATTCGACTATTTCTTAGTTTAATTATTCTTTGTTTTGTTACTCTCACATCGAATAATTTTTTTCTGCTAATTAAAACATTCTTGAAGGTATGGAAGCCATTATATGCCTATTTAGATGATTGTTTTATTTCAGATCCTAACACGAAACTTGAATTTCCCTTAACCGTCCAGCAATTGGCCTGTTCACTCTACTGAGATTCAGAAACTGTTTACTTTCAGTGAGAAACGTCCTTAAAGCCAGACCCGTTGGGTACACTGACTTCGAGTATTTTGGGGTTTTGGAAATAAGAACCTTGGGGCATTTAGATTTACATCTTTATATTTTCCAATTATCTTCATTAATTATGGTGTGATATCACAACTTAGACAACGCCCTCCTCTTTTTAATTGCATAACGTAACATCATAATAGAGTCATCTTTCCAACGGTTCTTATTTCAAAAACCCACAGTACTGGATTTCAGAACCAAGAGTGCCTGGAAACAAGAGAAATGTGCCTTAATTCAAAATGACTGAGAACTAGAGCATTTTTCTCCGACTCTCAGGAAGAATTCTTTTAAAATAAAGGAGAATTTCACTGAAATCCAGAACTTTTATTCCCTAGATGTTAGTATCACAGAGTAGTGAAATCCAGCAATTGTTTCTGATAACCAGAAAGTTTTTCTCTAAGCGAGAGTGGGGCAAAATGAAACAGTTAAAAAAAAAATGACGCAATTCAAGAAAAAAATTTTTTTTTTATTAAATACTTTTTTTCTGTTAACTTTCCTTTATTTTTGGGAGTACTGATGAGAACAATAATTTTCCATTCAGTAGAATGGAAATTTTTTTAGAAGTTTTGATGGGCGAAGATTTTGTCAATGGATTATTCGATTGAAATTTAGCATTACATTTTCATTTTTGCCCCTCTGGGTCTCCCCCTGGGCCTTGCTATGGACTTGGGATTTTGTTGTTTCATTTTCTTCTCAATTAATCCATTGACAAAATCTTTGCCCGTCAAAATTTCTCAATAGTTTTTCACTCTATTAAATGGAAAATTATTATTCTCATCAGAACTCCCAAGAACAAAAAAAAGTTGATAAAAAAAATTTACAAAAAAAATATTTTTTGCTTGAGTTGCATCAAACAGTTGCTTTTTTGACTGTTTCATTTTGCCCCACTTTCCCCTAATGTGAATAAAGTAATGAAACATTCGATCCTCTGGGATTATTTCATCCCAATTCAAGCGGAAAAAAAGGATGAAAATTCTAATAATAGAGAACGGGGGGAAAGGGGAATGGATGTAACGACCGGCGTAAATATTGTCGGCAATACGATAATCCAAAGTATATCGTAAAATTTGTTTCATCAATCATTTCTATCTGATTTGTTCTCCTCCTATTGCACTTAACTAATACTTAGTTTTGTTTGTTCTAAGCTTACAGAGGATCATTTCTGGTGTCGAATTACGAGGGACATCTACCCTCGAGTTTCTCTCATCACTCTCATACAATTCGTACTTTGAATCGTTAAAAAAAGCCCTTATGATACACTGTTACTTTCCACTTGAACTTGTTCGTGTTTTTTAGTTAGATTATATGTTTAACTGTTTGAAATAGGATCTGCAGTACAGAGTCATTGCGGTCGGGGCTGCATCAGTGCTACGTAATTTCCCCTCGTATTCGGCTAGATTCTCCAAGGCGGTCGTATATTGACGATCAAATACACCTGTGAAATGAATCAAATTCTTTTGAAAATTATGAATTAATCATATTTTATTGTGTAATTGAGATAATGAACACAAATAAAAATTTTCCAAAGAAGGATCGTTCTGAAACTTGAAATTCTGCACTGAGAAAAAAATTTATTCCTTCCAAGAAAATGTTATTGGTGATATCTTTTTCATACTCTTAGTAGAAGAAAATATCTCTTTTGGAACGTATTTCTCCAGGCCAGTCATTTCCAGGTGCTCCGAAATCAGTTCCAAGCGTGAGAATTATGGTGATCTATAAGAATATTCTTCTGCATATGACCTCGAAGAAACTCCAATAATAATTATTAACATTTGGAATTATTCCAATTTTCTTTACCTGAGAAAATCGCCAATTTGTAAAATCCGGAAGATATCGGAGAACATTTTGTCAAGGTCATATGTAGCATAATAATCAGATTGTTCAACATCACTGTAATTTTTGAGGATAGACTTGGGCTCTCTGAAAATGACTGTCCTGGAAAAATTCGTTCTGAAAAAATATTATCTTCTGACGAGAATATCAATCCTTGGCAGGAATAATTTTTTCTCTCAGTGTGTGGTGGCTAAATTTTTGGTGGACCACAATTTTCATCCGATTTGTACTTTTTTTCCAATCAAAGTTGATTGGACTCGAAAGAATAAAATTGGGTAATTGTTTTCTTGAATTTTTAATAGATCATGAAAGAATCTGTTTTTTTTCTTTTCTTTTTTTTGCTCCACCGTTTATACTGCCTAAAAGAAGGTTGCTTTTAGTAATTGAGAAGTTTGTATCCACGGTTTATTTGACTAAATATCTTCAATGTACCATTACAAACTTCAATCACTCAAAACAAACTGTTTTCAAACATGAAAAACCGAGAAAAAATATTGGTATTATTATTATAGTAGGGGAGAGTGAGGCAAAATGAAACAGCCGAAAAACGACTATTTGACGCAATTTAAGTGAAAAAAAAAACAATTTTTTTCATCAACTTTTGTATATCAACTTTTTTTTATTACTGAGAGTACTGATGAGAATAATAATTTTCTATTTGGTAGAAAAGAACATGCGGTGCGAAAAAATTACTGATATTCGAAACCCCTATATAGCGTAGTGACTACCTTCACAGATGAATCCCACTCCCCTGTTAGATCTCGATCTCAACGTGCACTAGTCAGCTTGTCCCCTGACTCTCTAGTAACCAAACTAAGAACTCGTCATCGCTGAGTCTATGTTCTCTCCTCATTTGAAACTCCCAAAGATTTTTCAGAGATTTCTTATATCGAGACGACAATATTTGTTCTGTCGCAGAAGGACTTTTTCAATTATTCATTTATTTATTTTTTTACAACTATGTTAAATTCACCGTTCCCGGGAATTACCCATTCTAAATTTCCTTACAATTCTATTTCTCGTCGCGTAAATCGTTTTATTACGGATGTTCGGTGAAATATTTGTATTCCCTCGTCTTTTGCTAATAATGATGAAAATTTTCCCGTCTTTTGTTACTATTAGTACAGCTGAAATTACTTTCCAACAAAGATTTTTATTACGGTTGAAATATTCCCAAATATTTTATTACGGTCGATATTTTCCCGAATTTCGGAAATTTCAATCATCGCTGGCCGATATTAAGTATTAATACTAATCCCTCCACTCCACTCAGAACAGTTGGCACGTTTGAGTCAGTTTATGACTACAGACACAAAGGTCTGGACGAACTAGCTGTTCGATTATTGTCCTTAACAGTTACTAATGGCTCAGTTTTCGCAGCCCTCATTGAATTTCAAGGATTAGTCATTTCCCGTACCCTCACTTCAGGCTTCCACGTGGACTCAATGCCCCTCCAACGCGTCCCTCGGGCCCACGCCGCCGAACGAATAGAAACGTGGCATTTCCATCGTCGAAAAACTTGGAACCCCGAACTACTTAATAATCTCCCTTCATGGTCCGTGTCCCACTACAGAAACCGTAGCTTCTCCCATTTTCAAGTTAATTGTTTTTCCGAGTTTTAGTTTCAGTGTTTCAATTCATTCAAAACGTTTTGCTCAAAGAATAGAGGAATTATACCGCGTTTCGGTTGAATCCAACATACGTGTTTCGACATAAACGGTTTGTCTTTCGGTCCTCGCAGAATGTTTATGAATTATCAAGAACTGGACAGGCTTCCCCTCGATACCTCTAAATTAATTCTCGTCGTTTGATATCCATTGAATTATTAGTTTTCATTTTCATTTCGATAAACATTATTCTTTCATCAGTTTGTAAATAAGTGTAGTGATTAAATTATAAACATTTCTATTAAACAAACTCTTGATTATTTACCATTAAAAACTTTCCCACAATCGCCTCCTCAGTATCTTGACATTGTGCGAGTGAACAATATTAATAATTTTTACTAATTTTATCCACAGTTCTCTTTTCAAGTAATATGAAATATTTCATCTATGATTCAATTGATTAGGTAAGGGCGATTACACTTTTCTTTTTTCGTTCAATTGACATTTAGCATCCCATTTTCTTTTTTCCTCTGGATCTCCCCCTAGGCCCTCCTCTAGACTTTGGATTTTGCTGTTTGATTCTCTTTTCAATTAATCCATTGGCAAAATCTTATTCCGCCAAAACTTCTCAATAATGTTCGATTCCACTCAATGAAAAAATTATTATTCTCATCAGTACTCACAATAATAAAAACAAGTGGAAAATTGCCAATGTATAGCATATAGTATAGATTTTTTTGCTAATAAATTAGCAATATGCTTCCGAATAGTCATGTTGCATTTTTTTTTCTTCCGTATATGATTTATATTTTACTTTATTTCATTAAATTGAATAAGTTTCTTTTCAATCGTGTCAAATTTTCACTTCAGTTGAATTTTATAATTATTATTATTCTTATTATCATTTTCTGTTATAGAACTTTTTATTTATTCATTTTTTTTTTCATTATTCTTTCATCCACTCTCATTGTTACTTTGTAGCATTCATTTTATAAGCTACATTTCATGTTTTCATTTCGCTTTTATATTTTCATTGAATCGTTTTTTAGCTATTACAATTGGATTCTTTCGAAGCTCTGCATTTAACAGGTTTGTCGTTTCCATAAGCCACGTGTAGGTTATGGCTGTCGATTATTATGAATATATCAGTTTATTTTTAAATTATATTTTAGTTGCTCATAACAGGTTTGCATGAATCCTTAAAATTATTAAATAAATAGATTAACCATAAATGAATTTGCACCGTTTTTCTTTCATTCAAATAATCAACGAAAGTGTATTTTCCACAATCATGGAAAGGCAACAAATTTTCGAATACCATAAGCGATTCCTGAAATCCGGGCATAAATCAAATGAAAGAATAATACTATTTTATGTCTGTACCTTCGGCTTGACCCTTCGGAGATGACCTTACGTGTCCTTCACATGTATGTGTGCCTAGAACCCCCCGTGAGAGCCCTCTACATGGGGAAAAGGGTATTTCGAACTGGGCTTCTAAGTGTCGGCTAGCTCGCGCGCGGTGATCGCGGAGACTCCTCAGTACGCTTTCGTTTTCCGAAGCGTGTATGTGTGTCTAAACGTTGTTGTAACGTTCGTTATTTTATAAGCACCTGAGGTGCGTTATCCTGTTGAGAGTCTAAATATAAACTGAGGTAGGTAACCCTTGTTCTTTTAGGTTCTTTTTCAGGTGGATTAGGGTACTGGCGGTGTTGGATTTTTGCCGAGTTCGACGGAAAAAAATTGGGACGTAAGCGTCGCCATTCACAGCGTCCACCGTCATGTTGGCGGAGGGGCGGCAGCAGCGGCACCCGCAGCCGAGAAGGCTGAGGAGCCGCAGGTTTCACCTCGTTCCTAACCTATCATACAGCTCGCACTTGTCAATGATGAACCGCAGGTTTCACCTCGGTCTCTAGTATTGTCAGTGCTCGCAGACATTCTCTCGAGCACACATACACCGGTCTCTGGGGTGATACTGGCTTTTTCTGGGTTTCAGATGACCGAGGAGGCATCCTTCGTCACACTGGAGGAGCTGATGGGCGTAGCAGCAGAGACAGAAGAGGAGGACGAGGTGTTGGACAGATTGAAGACTCTAGCCTCAGAATCTCTCCCTGCTGGCTGGCAGGAGGGCAAAGTTCTTAACCTCCCTAGAGAGGCTTTCTTTGAAGACGAGGACAATATCGATCCTCAGATCTTCAATAAAATAAGATTCGCATTCCCCACATGTGGGATTGCAAGAGCTTTTAAGCCTGATGCGTGCGGTCTGAGTGAGAAGGTCTGGAGGCATATGAAAGTCTGCATGTTAAACTGGCCATTCTGCAGAGCACTGATCACCAGTCCTCCAGGAATCGTCAACAAGATTCGAGGCTCGAGGGTTCAGGCAGATTTGTTTCTGCATTCTTTAAAACCAGTGAAATCTATGTTCAAATCTCGTGCTGAGGCCGCTGAGGAGTTGAAACGAGAGGCAGGTCTTCCGACAAATGATTCTGAGTTGGAGGAACCTAACCCCAAACGGGCACGTCTTGATGACGAGTTTAAAGTGCAGGTTAACACCATGTTGGAGATACTGTCTGATAAGATTGATGCCATACAATCTAATAAACGACATTCCCGCAACGCGAAAGTGGAATTTGACTCACAATCAGACAAGGAAAGCAATTCCTCTGAGGAGTCTTTCGCGACCGATTCAGAGTCCGAAGAGATCGCATGGGCAGCCCCAGAGCTAGGTCTTCACAATTCCACGGAGGAAAGGGACTTGAACTGGTACTTGACCCCAGTGGTAATGGAATGTGAGCCTCAGATTGCTGAACCGAGTTCGATGATGAGGGAGCAGAGGATCACTTGTCAGAAACTAGGTAGCACAGGATGGAATAAAATAAAATACAAAGACGTCCAGAAAAAGCTACAGGCATCACCAGTGTTTGACACTCTCAAGGTAAACAGTCAGTTAGGGGCTATTGTTCCAAAGTCCTTCAGTCAAACCATCCTAGCTAGATCT